ATTGTACTACTTTCTCCTTGTTCATTTTCAAGGTTCAATTTTAAGGCCATATGAAATTAGTAAAAAAGTACTACTTTACTTAAATAAACAGCATCAATTGTTGTATGTTAAAATTAGTTGTTTTTTCTTTAAAAGATTATTTTATTATCATTAAATATTTAGGGATTGAGAAATGTCTGTTCCATTGTTTTACCAGACTCTTAAGATGACTATGAGAATATTTATGCATCATCGGTAGAAAATATAATTCAAGAAAAAATAATTTTGTTTTTCCCTCCATTCTTGTTTTGGTAGATTTGATTGGTCTGGAAGATCTCCTTTACCTTGTGAATTTTCCAACTATTGGTATCTAAAGCTGAAAAGGATGGTGTTGCCCAGCTGGTATTTGCATGGTGGGATCTTGTTATGGATGTTGACGGAGAGATAGTGTTAGAGCTGTGCCCAGTGTGGGCGCATCCACTTACCAGAGGAGAAGGGAGTGCAGATGACTTGCCATGGAGGGATCACTGGATGCAAGCAGTGTATTATCTGCCAAAAGAGGTTGGATGTGAAAGAAGGCCAAGAAATAACTATAATTTGTACTCGAGATGAGTATTCGTTTGGTTCAATGCCTGCTGAAAATTTGAGGTAAGGTAGTATTTTTGGTACCTTTGTAACTGAGTAATATTGTTGGAGAATTTCTAAAGGAATTAAAATTTATCTGTGAGCAATGTGGATGTAATTAAAATCTTTTTTTCCATCTTGACCACATAGGTTACCTCATTTTATTCTGAAAATTCCTTTCCCTATTACCTCGATGAAAAAATTCAAGAAAACTTAATAAAATTGTTGGAAAATAAAATTTTTACTTCTTGTATACGTAGTGTATACAGAGTAGTAAACGAAGTAAAGGGAAACGCTAAGGTAAAGTGCTGCTTCCACAATTCCAGACTTTAACTTCCATTTAACTTCCAAATTTCAACGGAATAACACACACACACACACACCACACACACACTGTATGTATATATATGTATGTATATGTAGTTTACTAGTGGTATGATGTTATGTATAATATGTATGTATATGTATGTATATATTGTATGTATATTTGTTGTATGTATATTTTTTTGTGTGTATATATATGTGTGTGTATATATATGTGTGTATGTATATATATGCTATGTATATATATGTGTGTA